CCCCCACTTGCAACAACGAACGCATCAGTGAACCTTCTGTTTCTTCAAAACCTACCCACGTTTCCTCCACCTCTTCCCAGCCCTCGGGATGCAGCTGCTTTGTGTTTGACACCCCTTACTGTTGTTTGTTTTTGTTTTCCCCAGCAGTTGACTGAACTAGAACCTAGGTTCTGTAAACATTAGGAAAATTTTCAGTGTCCCTGTCGCTTTCACTATGTACCTGTGAAAATTGTTTTCTTTCATATGTAACTTTCTGCTTTCTTCATATAGCCAACTCTACCAGGAAGGATTTGTGATCAAAAGTCCTTACAACTTCTTTGATATGTAGGGCATAGTAAAGTGTCTTGTATTTTGCATCCTGTGCTTGTGAGGCCTGATTTGAGAAGCAGCTACTTATTTATTCCTCGTGTATTATCTAACCTTATGTCCACACCCAGTATTTTTACCACCTGGGTTGTTGACCTAATTGTAATTTTATCAGCGCAAGGAGCAGTGGACATGATGTCTTACACTCATATCAGAGGTCTGTCCCTAAAGGCCTACCATTCATCAATGCATTTTTTTAAGGACTCAGCAAATCAAGATGATGAAGATTTCATTGTTCTCTTTTTTCCTAGAAATCCGGAAGGCGGATGATCATCTGCTCAGACGTTCACAAAATGAGAGCTGGGTCGATAAAATGGAACCATGCTGTGAACATAACGCACTGGAAAATATTGTTCATCGGCCCCCAAATAATTTTCATTTAGGGGAAAATCATGATATATTTTACTTAGGTGAAAAAAATTTAAAATCAAATTTAAGTTTATCTACAGGCAATCAGAGACAAAATGATAAAATAACAAAGTCAGCTGAGCTTAATGGGGATGAGCGAACCTTTCTCCATGCTGACCATGACCAATTTTGTACTGAAAAGAAATTTCCCGAGAGTCGAAAATCTAACAGCACCAAGTCCCAACTCATGAAGCATCAGAAAACTCATCTAACAGAGAAACCACATGTATGTCGTGAATGTGGCAAAGCCTTCATCAAGAAGTCTTTCCTCACTAATCACCAGATTATTCATACAGGTGAGAAACCACATAGGTGCAGTCTGTGTGGGAAAGCCTTTCCTAAAAAATTCAACCTGACTGAACATTATCAGACAACTCATAAAGGACAGAAGCCATATAAATGCCCAGAATGTGGCAAGTCCTATCTTTATGAATCAGGGCTCATTAAACATCAGAAAACACATAAGGGAGAGAAACCCTATGTATGTAGTGAATGTGGAAAAAGCTTCTTTGAGAAGGCAGATCTCATTATTCATCAGCGAATCCATACTGGAGAGAAACCCTATGTATGTAGCGAGTGTGGGAAAGGCTTCATCCAGAAGGGAAATCTCATTATTCACCAGCGAACTCATACTGGCGAGAAACCCTATGTATGTGGTGAATGTGGTAAAGGCTTCAGCCAAAAGTCATGTCTCATAGGACATCAGAGATTTCACACAGGAAAGAGTCCCTTCGTTTGCAGCGAATGTGGAAAACCTTATTCCCAGAAGTCAGGTCTCATTAGTCATCGGAAGATTCACACAGGAGTGAAGCCCTTTCAATGCAATGACTGTGGGAAAGCCTTTAACACGAAACCAAAGCTTCGTGTGCATCAAAGATCTCACACAGGAGAGACGCCCTATGGCTGCAAGGAATGCGGGGAAGCATTTGCTTATACTTCATCCTTATATTTACATAAGAGAAAACACACGAGTGACACGCATGTGGGTTCAATCAGGGTAGAAGGATCACTCAGGTTGGAAGACCCTGCCACAGGGAATCCTGTGTCATCACATCGCAGCGACCTCATGCCTGAGAAAGGCCGAGTTACTACAGTGACTGGGCAAATGCCTTCTGCGGGAGCTCAGCCGTCAGTCAGCACGAATGGGCTTCTATCAAATAGGAACGTAGTCCTTGTGGGTCCGCCTGTTGCCAGCAGTGAGCCATCAGGAGGGAACAGAGAATTTGTACAACAGAGAATCCTTATGAATGCAGTGAATGTCGTCATGCCTATGAATGCAGTGAATGTGGCAAGGCCTTCAATGCTTAATTATGTCCTATTTTATGCCACACAAAACCCATAAGGTAAACACAGATAGATTGGCTGAAGAATAAGGGTGATCAAAAATGTCTACCTCTTTGTATGGCCACAAAACGTGTCCTGCGAAACCTCTCCTGACTTCAGATCCCGGACAAGCATGATGGCCTCATTTTAGATAGATGTGTGCATTGGTAGCAAGAAAAAGAAAATTCAACTTTAGCCTAATCTACACACATAGTTTATTATGCTAATTGAATGAGGCAAAGTCCGTGTCTGCAGACCAAGGAAGTGGCGTGGAGCTATAAAACGGAAAAGGTGGTCCGTATCCAGAAGGTTGCTTGTTGCCGTTGACTCCATTCTGAACACGTGCGGATCCCAAGTGTTTTAAACGGGAAACAAAACAAACAGGATGTAGTTGGTAGATGAAGGGCAACGTTAGACCGGTGGGGCTTGGGGGCACAGGCATACCGGTTTGTCCCGATGAGTGTGAAGGGTCAATTGAAAGCCAGAATCACCCACCCTCAAACTCAGGCGTATATATGTGGTGCTTGCAAACCAGTAGACCTCTCAGTCCACTCGCAAATGTCAGGAATGTTTGTCACACACTTCCTTTGCCCCCGGCCTTTGGTTCTGTTGCTGAGGGGCACTGGTGAACAAAACAGAAAGGTCTGTGCCCTCTCTAGTTGGTTCACATTGAATAGAGGCCTGACCCCCCAGCTAGTCAAAGGCTGATGCATTATCTGCGTTAGATGAAAGAGAAGTGGAGTAATTGGAACATAGAGTTTAGTTAGGAGTTTTGTGCGCTAGAAAATCCTAAAAACTTCTTATGACAATTACCTGTCAAAGCTAGTTGCCAGTGAGATGATCCCCACTCGTGGTGATGTGAAGATTCTAAGAACTCTGTTCCCTACAGATCCCCCGGCTGGTGTTTCAGAGTTCTGTGACCAGGACTGACTTTTAGTCCTGTCTAGGTAGCCTCAGACTTCCAATCATTTAGGTCAGCAGCCGAATGCATTCATCGTTGGCGCTACCCAAGGAGTCTTAGGATAAGGATTCCTCTTAATGGTACTTAGCCATCTTGGGTAAGGATTCCTTTTAATGGTAGTTCTCGTAGGAAACAAGGCATTTATTTTAATGCCTGTCTTATTTCAGCGAGATTATAAATTCCTTGACTTTTTAAAATGACCTTTAGTGAAACAAGTTCCTTTAACTGGATTTCAGCCTTGGTTAAGAAGATATTACCTTTATCCAGGTTTTTTTTTGAAGAAGCATGGTTGGGCAGTGGGTCTGCTAGGTTGTTTCCCACCTGATGGGGGTGTCTTACTTTTGCCAGGGGAGTCCCTCTGTCACTTGACATGTCCAAGGTGAGCTGGGCACAGTTTGATGGCGTGCTACTTTGTCCTGTGTATCCGAAGTGACATGAGTAATTGAGGATTGTTAAGCTCTGGTCTGTTGAAGGAGAGTCTACCTTGCAACTGATGAGAATCAAGATACAGAAATGATTGAGTAAGAGGTTTGGGGCCTGCCTTCTGGATGACAGAACGGGTGCTATCTAAAAGCTAGAAGGAAAAAAAAGATGAGCCACGTCGGAGCCGAGTGATCACAAAGCTGCGGCACTGGCTGTGAGCTTGGGGGGGACAGCAGAGGAGCAGCTCATGGCAGAAATGGCCAACATGGGAGGCAGGCAGCAGAGAAGGCCGACAGAGCAGAGAGCCAAGCATGCTGCTCCATTGACTGTGATAGGAACTGGGCCAGTTTAAACAGCAGAGAGGCATCATGGCTGAGAAGCTCTATATAGAGCTGAGCTAAGTGGTCCACTACCTGTCAGCGACATCAGTTAGCAATGGAGAGGCTGACCAAGGATATACCAGTGGCAGTTTGGTCATTTAGCTGTGGATAGGCTGATGGTGGAGAGCCAGTGAGGAAACACCCAGACAGCTCCGAGGCCACTGCGGCAGAGAGGTCTGACAGCAAGAAACTGCCCTAGGTCTTTATGTAGAACAGCATCCGAACCAAACCGGCCACCATTGAGTCAATATTGACTCCTAGCGACCCCCTGTGGGGTTCTGCAACTAACTTTAAGGGAGTAGAAAGCTCAGTCTTTCTCCCTGCGACCGTCTCCCAGGTCCCCAGATCAGAAGTTCCTTCCTCAGGGAACCCTGGGTTATACTTTTTCACTACTTGTAAAAATCCTTGCATCTTTTTGCTTGTTACTACTACAATCATTTTTCAGTAGGCAGGTGAGAGTAATACAGTAAGTTTTAGGATTACTTTCACCTTGCCCCATTATTCTATTTAAATATTTAATAATCCCTCAACTGGACTTTCACATTAAAGTAATTTCCCTGGAAAAAAAATAATTTCCCCGATTCACGCTACTATCTGGTGAGGTTACACAACCATTCGTATAGGGATTATTCCCCCTATAGGAGGCCTTCTTGGTCCCTGGTATGGGGCACCATATGTGGGCTACATCCAGATGGGTCCTTAGGGATGGCTGTGTAATTGAAGGGAATAAAGAAACAAAAGTTTTGGGGTGCTCACCTCCATGCCAGGTCTGAGCAGTGGGGAGAGCACATGAATGTATTGTTTAACAAGTTTATGTAGTCTCAGGGCATCTAAGCCCCCCCAACTACACACACCTATCTCTGTTACAAGGTGGGCAATAGCTTAACCCTAGAAGTCCCTGAGCTCATTGAGGGACTAACCTAACTAGTGCTGGGAGCAGGGAAGGAAAGTCACTGTCCCCTGAGCAGGGGAACAATAGCAATGTGTCTGTTTCTAAAGATCAAGCTGCCGGCCAGATAGCAATCAGCCATGTGCTTGTAAGCGGTAGCATTAAGGTAGTACTATTATAGGAGGATATTGTGGGGATGTGTTTTTTTTTTTAATTTTGTTTTGGGGGCTCATACAACTCTATAACAATCCACGCACACATCAATTGTGTAAAGCACATTTGTACATTCGTTGCCCTCATCATTCTCAAAACATTTGCTCTCCACTTAAGCCCTTGGCATCAGCTCCTCATTTTCCCCACTCCCTCCCCGCTCCCCACTCCCTCATGGACCCTTGATAATTTATAAATTATTATTTTGTCATATCTCACACTGTCCGATATCTCCCTTCACCCACTTTTTCTGTTGTCCGTCCTCCAGGGAGGAGGTTATATATACATCCTTGTAGTGGTTCCCCCTTTCCACTCCATCCTCCCGGTTTCGCCACTCTCTCTCTACTGGTCCTGAAGGGAGCATCTGTCCTGGATTCCCGTGTTTCCAATTCCTATCTGTACCAGTGTAGTGGAGGTGGTTTTTATTAGGAGAATGTGACTGGGGCTCTTCTCCGACTCATGAATGTGAAGGCCTCCCTCCACTCAGTTCTGGCCTCCCAGGCTTCTTAATTATGAGTAAAGAGAATTTGTCCACATACACTCTCTTCCCAGACCTCAGTTTCCCACAGCTGACCAGGCGGAGGGCAGCCAGTGGGTAACTACTACACTACCAGGGCTCCGCAGCGAGGAGCATTTTGCTCCTAGGGGTTATTCTGCGAGAAAGCAGTCCAGATCAACCAATTGAATCCTAGTTGTATCCTGTTACGTTTCAGTTGGTCCTGATTTTGAATTGTAACCTGTTACCTCTCTAATAAATCACGTAACTGTGGTCGTGGTCTGTGAGCTCTGTGTTGCCATTGCAGCAATTTAAGAATCCAAGCAGAGAAGTACCATGGTGGGACTTCAGGGGCAAGCAATGGTGAAAAAGAAACATGGAAGGCAGGGGTCCATCCTAGGAACCGGCTTGTGCTGATCATGATTGTTATTCCTTAAAGCAAAGCCTTTTCCTTGCGGTCAACTATTTTCTCCCGAGGTATTTCTTTTAAATACCTTTTTAGTGTGAGTATTTATACCCAAGTAGATTGTCAGTAACTTCATAGCAATACATTCTGGCTATTAATTTTTTAGAAAATTCCTTCTTTGCACTACCCTCATCTCACTTGTACACGAGCCACGTGTGGCTGTATTCTACCTCACACAGCACAACGAGCAAGACTACCATGTAAAGATTCCAACATCTGTATCATCCCAGAAAATGATTTTGGAGAGCGTTTGCCTATATGATTGTATTTCTCACAGTACACAGAAGACTAAATATATATTTGGAAAGTAAGTGAATGAGCCATTAGAGGGTTGTTTATAGAACAGAATCCCCCCCCCCAAAAAAAAAAACAAAAACCCACAAAGCATTCTCATATATCTTTTAAGATACTCAGCAACTGATTATAATCCCACAAGAGCAGAAAAGCAATAAGGATGGTCAAAATAAGAATAAAACACAAAGTAAGAACCTTCGTTTCTAAGTGCATATTATTATTGTTACTGTCACATCAATTCCAGCACATGGAGAGACTGTATACAAAGAACTACTAGGGTCCTTAATGCTGTGTCCTTTTAGAAGCAGATTGCCAACCCTCTTGTGAGGGACCTTCGTCTTACTGCTAGTATCCCAGTGCTTAGCTATATGCTCCACCCAAGGACTCCCGACCATGAAGTAAAGGAGATGGGTCCTTTTGGGGGTATCTTGGAGTTGAAACAATATAAACCTGGAGATTTACACCATTTCAAAGATGCAACACTTTCTGTAATTGGCTGAATTGAGACAGGTTTGATGTTCAACACTTCCCACTTTGCTAAGCATGAGGCTCTTAAGCCAGTCTTCTCTACCAAGTTTCTTTAATTTCCATATATTATGTGGTTCCAAGTCTTGCCCATGAGAAGACATGGACATTTGCCTTGGTGTGGTTGCCATCTCAGAACTGAATCAGAAAACCCTGGGTCCTTCAGGAATATTCTAAAGCACCATCACTGTACAAGGCACCAGTTATATACTGAAGATTCATTGAGCAGAAAAAGCCAGGAACCTTTATGGAGTGGTGACTAAAAGATCAGGAAATGTCAGGGTACCGGTCCCCAACAGTCAAACAGATCCTTGAAAAAACAAGACCGCAGGTCCCAGGCCCGGTTCCGTGTCCGTGTGTCAGGATCAAAAGAGCTAATGTACATTCCAATGAGTGTATATAATCATGGGGCTTACAAATCTTTCAATAGGCATACATGTAATGTAGTGGACAGTGGGTGTAACCTTGTACGTCCTTGAGCCCTCCGAAAAGGAACAATCTATGATTTGTATCAGAAGGAGACACCAAAAAGGAGTTTGCTACACTTTGGGGTGGGATAGACATATAATCGGATTGCTCTTCACTATAGAGAACCTCTCGGTGTATTGTGAACAGCCAGGTGCATCCTTTATGACCCTCTCTGGAGGGCTATCGTAGGCGCTGTATCCCATCATGTGAATGTGTATTAAGAGTTATTTTTATCTCATAACTGAATCTTCATCCCCCGGAGTCGGCCTTCCAGACTTGGTGGTTATGAGCATAGGGAAATTGGCTGCTTAGATTCATCCAGTCCCTCAGTTTACCACGAGGAAGCAACAAGAGCAATTCAGCCTAGTCAGTGTACCAATAGTAATGGAGAAACTGGTAAGGATTTTTTTAAGAGACGATTTCTAGACAATTCGAGCCAAAGCTTTGTGTTGCTGAGCAGCACCAACAACCATCACTCTTTGAACATACAAAACCGCAGGACTGGGGTGGTGGTGGTTTCTCGATGGGATTCTCTCAGACGCCTCCATAAGGAATGCGTGGAGCCCAGACCTATGGGTTTTTAATAATGCGTTCTGCCGCGTGCTGAAGTTTTTAAATTGGGTGATGAAAACAAACCATTTGCCAGTACAAGCAACGTCCACCACCCTCCGTCCGACTTACGGTAAAGATGTTTGCTCATTTCATGTGAGATCACACAATAGCTTGTGTGTGTGGCTGAAAGAGTTCCCTGAGCATGTTCTCAAGGTTCAGCTGTGTACAGGATGCTTCAGCCCTTAGTCTTCAACAACCACAAACTGTATCGCATCATGGATTCATGGCGGATACTTCTCGAGCAATGAACCAGAACCCATGAATCACACGCTTCCTTGCCCTGTGAATCTGCATGTGTAGAAATCTCAGAATCCCACGATCATGACATTACCAATAAAAATAAAACATCAAAAACAAATAAATAAAACATCAAAACCATCCAAATATGCATTTTTGTAAATAAAGTTTTATTGGGACATAAATTAGACATGCCAATAGTTCAATCATCAAGAAGTGTTGTACAATTGGTACGACGGTTCATTTTAGAACATTTTTTTCTTGTCCTTTTAAAACACGTATTAAATACTTTTATTGGAGGCTCTTACAGCCCTCATCACAATCCACACATTCATCCTTTGTGTCAAGCACATTTGTACATATGTTGCCCTCATTTTCAAAGCATTTTTTCTACGTGAGCCCTTTATATCGGCTCCTCACTTTTTTCCCTCCCTCTCCTTCCCTCATGAACCCTTGATAAGTTATAAATTATTTTCATATCTTACATCATCGTACTCTATGTTATTAGCGCCTCATATCTGCCTGATCTTCCCTGCCATACCAGGAGAAAGCGGCCTTTTCCGCTGTTGTTCCTTTTTTTTAAATTTTTATTTATTTATTCTTTCTTTAGAGAAAGAGTGAGTCAGCGAGTGAGAGAGTGAGAATGAGTGAATTAGAGAGAGAGTGAGTGAATGAATGAGTCAGTGAGTAAGAGTGAGAGAGTGAGTGAATGAGAGTGAGTGAGTGAGTGAATGAGTCAGTGAGTGTGAGTGAGTGAGAGAGTGAATGATTCAGTGAGTGTGAGTGAGTGAGTCAGTGAATGAGAGTGAGTAAGTGATAGAGTGAATGAGAGTGAGTGAGTGAATGAGTGAGTGTGAGAGAGTGAGTGAATGAGAGTGAGTGAGTGAGTGAATGAGTCAGTGAGTGTGAGAGTGAGTGAGTGAATGAGAGTGAGAGAGTGAGTGAGAGTGAGTCAGT